AACCGAGATGCCTAGGGTTTAGGGTTAGGGTTTAGGGTTTAGGGTTTAGGGTTTAGGGCCTCATTGCCAGAATCCGATGCAATGATGGTGAAGACCTCGGGTGCACGTGCCAGGCAACTCTGAACACGGTGAACCAAGGGCCAAGGTTGCTGCCCAGTCCGGTCCAAGCACGACCAAGTCCACAATCTGAAGGCCAGCTTCGAGATGTTCATGCCAATGCAAGAGGATCATACATCCATGACGGTGACACGTAGTAGCGTGAACAAGAGACTTGGAAAGGACGACACCAGACCAAGTGGAAACGCGTTCTGCCCTACTTCGGCAAGCATGCCACATGCGCGATAGTCTCCTGGAAGCTCGTCCCAACAAGCAGACACCGGTAACATGCAGCCGAACTCTTGCAGACAATTTACGAACCAAGTCCTCAGATAGCGGAGGACCTTAGTTGGCAGAGAAGTTCTTGTGGCCTAGACAGATTACACAGAGACAAGCAGACGCTAAGCAGACTGGGCCCCCGGCAATCAGCGAGGGGTCCATGATCGTGATGCCTTCCTCGACCTAAGAAATTAACAAAAGCTCTATGTAAGCGCGTTTGTAGTGATTGCTATTGTTACCATAGTTTTGATGGCTGTTATAGTCTTTATCACGACTAAGTGCGACTACTTGTTTTCACAACTTTTACGTAGGACGGTAGTCCCAAGCACAAGAAGCTTAAGGGGAGTTTTGGGTTGAAATGTTGGAGGGCGCTGAGGTGAAGGCGTAGCCGGTCGTAAGGGAAGCTCCCACATTCATCGTCCAATAGACCAGCGTGATCCTTAGGTCTCATCCATTCAGCTTCTCTTGCGAAGTTTGCAAAGTCACCTACCGGAATGCCGCACTGCTGCACATGACATGCTGGTTCACGCTCGGCGGCCAGTCCATTGCAAGGCCCGCTGTTGATTCCGGTGGACTTAGAAAGCCAGGAGCTCACACGATCGAACAGTAGCACCCTCGCATCTGCTGTGCCAGAAAGCTAGTTTTGGTGACGAGCAGCTCAAAAGCTTGAAGCGGAACTGCAAAGAGGTCATACATAATCAAGAGACCTCCCATCATGTCCTGTCGCACGGTTCCCCTATGACTCAGGCCGATTTACCATTGTGCTCTCGGCTTTCAGGATTGCCCCCGGTCCCAAACCAAGCGGTGGAGGCTGCTGGGGTAGGAGATCAGGCGACGTCTCCAGTCAGCCATGGCCTCGGTGTGTGTTTGCAGAGACTCTAATACCCCTGAATTAAGGAATATACCTTAAATCATATTAGGGATCCCATCATAATTTAAGGTATATTCCTTAATTAAGGGGTTTTGGAGTCTCCGGGTTTACATGTCACGTCGGACTCCAGAGTTCAGCTTGGGCCGGGGCCGCGGTGTACCCATCAGCCCCCCCTTCCGCCTGCGACGACAGCTGGCAGCTCCCACAAAAGCCATGAGATTTGAAGAATCTGTGAGGCCTGTGCTGAACCAGAGAGGGTATCCTCCAATTCAATTGACTTGCCTCAGTTCTATCCGTCGGAGAAGATCAAAAAGCAACTCTTCGACTCGAAGTAGTCAACCTTGCAGATCGAATAGAAGCCATCTGTGGCGAGCCACTTTTGCTAGCAGCTCTTCGCGTCACACGCATGGTTGTCCTCAGTTGAAGCAACCCTCGATGTTCCCACGACGTGTCAATTGAGATTTCACAGGTATGGTGTGGGCTGCATGGACAACAGCTGCAGGCTTCACCGGAGGCTTCTGCCAAGGCACACTTTGCTCTCCGTGGCCCACAGGCGGCGCAGAGGAAAACGCTCATCAGCACCTCACACGGCAGTCCCAAGCAGTTGTCCAGCAGGCCACTCACTGCAACGTTGTCTTAGCTGTGCTCTGCACCTTGAGATCGAGAGCGGTGTGACGTGATGTTGGAGATGCCGGAAACTGCATTGGTGATCCTCTGCGCTGCTGACTCCTCCTGGCAGGATGCTGCTTCCTTCCCTTTGTCTCACATGTTGGAGTAACAGCCACTGACCGAATGCTCCATTCCCGCGGGCCTGATCGTCCTCCAGCACGGACACATCACTTTCCGAACTCCGTGGAGTGGCATCCTCGTGCGCGAGCGGAGCTACTTGCTAGCCATAGCAGGTTGGAGAATATTACAAGCAGAACCTGGCAGTGGTGCCTAGGAAACCAAACAACACAATCGACGCAGTGGAAGGATGTGAACCTTCACAGCAAAGTACGACACGGGGCTCAGATGCAGCGGAGAGTTAGATAGCTACGTCAACGCTGCGAATCGCTTGACATGCTCGCCAGGTATCCAAGTCCCCCCTCAGCTTCAGGGGCGTCGCCTCGCAGCCGCAAGTTGGAAATGCAGACACCACAGCGCTCTCTCCTTCCGTTCATACTGTTTGCATATCTCCCAACACAAGCCAGCTTCACGTCGGCCACAGTCCTGGCAGGAGTGACATGGAAAGACTCTGCACCGCGAGCACACTCACGAAGCACAGTGATACTCTCAGCACCACGGGAAGCATGCAGACGAGGAGCAACAGATTTACAGGTCGTGGCACGGGCGGAGGAGAAGTGATCTCTTCCACTCGGATTCCTTGGCTGACCAGACTCCGCAAGTGAAGGTCCGATGAATCTCAGAGCTCGCAGGCTTCAGCCATAGATTGCGGTCGGCTGGCCAGAACCACTACAGATTGTGTCTGAATGGACTGGCGCTCGTACACGCGTTCCCCACTTCGCGTCTTCGTTCACCGAATTTGGCAGCCTCGGACCATGTTTCAGCTCTTAACTCACGAGGCTTACGAGACCATAGTAGCAGTCCTTGCGAGTGTTCTTGCTGAGGTAATGACGCGACGTTCAAGTTGAAGCTGCATTTTGGGCAGGTCAGCTCGTGGCGAACCTTTCCACCACGGGAATGCAGCAAGGCTTGGGCACAGGTCTTCTCCTATCCGCGATGTCCAGGGGTACCGAGGAACCCTGTCGACGTCTGCCGAGAGCCATGTCGGCACGGTGCGATTCAGCTCCTCATAGCCCGTCTATGCCACACAAGCCAAACAGAGGCAAAAGCGGTCACACCCAAATCCCATGTCTCCTCTTCATGACATTGAGAAAGCTGATCCAGCAGGCGCTGAAAGCGCTGAGATGGCCGCACACGTTCGGAAGCCATTGCGACTGCTCTTTCTCTCTTAAGTTGAGCTATGCACTTACGAAGCTCCAAGCTCTCAAGAAGACAGGCTGCAGCCTGAAATGGGTTGGGTGAAAGTGTGGCGCCGTTACCGGCAATACGCGAAGGCCTGCTGGGCCTCTTAGGACTTGCTATTGGGGCGTGCATCCATTGACCTTCTATGTGTCACCCACTCCCTCTCCAATCTTCGAGGCACGGAAGCCTGAACGGCAGTCGGTGATGCATCGCAACATGTCCGACCTCTGAAGTGAGTAGAGATGAGTAGAGTCTCCAACAGACTGAGCAAGCACAAGCTTCGCGGAGTAAATCTCACCATCTTTTCTTCAAGCCTTTCTCTTCGGCCTTGCCTTCGCACTGCTCGCTTTGGTGTGGAGCTGCGATTTTTGTCGAAGCGCGGCACTTGCCGAGGGGTCATCCTGGCAACGGCCCACGAAGTAAGCGGAAGAGCGCGTCAAGCGTGCGTCTGCACCGGGCGCTCCTGTGAGTCCTCATCCTGGTCCTCCGGATCCTTCTGCCGGTCCAGCAGTTCCTCGCGAATCCACACAGAGAGGGTTTAGGGTTTAGGGTTTAGGGTTTAGGGTTTAGGACAGGGAGAACAGCCATGAAAAGCCCTGGTCTTCATAAGACAGTATGTTCGATGCAGTGTGAGCGGCCTGCAGGTCATGCCCGTGCTTGCTCAACATGTGGACCTCGTCATCACCTGGCACACTTCGACCAAAGCATGCAGGCCCAAGTCCTGAAATGCTACATTCCACACTTGCTCACCATGTTAGAAATACACCCTAAAGCCTCCCTTGCTCCAAAAACATATGTGTACATATATATATATATACATATATATGTATTTACTGACTTATGCTTATCTATCTGAAAGCATTATGCATACATGCGTTTATATCTATATCTATATATATATATATATGTATGCATATATATATATATATATGCATATATATATATATATATATATAGTTCTGTGTGTGTGTATATATACATATTTATTTATAGATCGAGGGTCGAAGGGGCCGAGGGGCTGTCGGTTTCGGCTCCCTCCTCGGGAGCCAAGACCTGATTGCCGTCTGGCACAACAAGCTCGCGATGCTTCTCCTCCGTGTCCTCCTCCCATAAGGAATTAGGGTTCAGGGTTTAGGGGTTCAGGGCTTGAGGGTCTGGGGTTTTAGGGTTTAGGGAAGAATTCGGTTCAGGGCTGTAGCTTTTTCGGGTTTAGGGAGTAGGGGATTTAGGGCTTTAAAGGTTTAGGATCCCTGAGAATTCGGCCGCGAAATTAAAGCAGGGCTATGGTCCTCCTGATCGTCGGAGAACTCGTCGGCAGCTTCAAAATCCCATAAGGCTTCGCCTGCCAAGGCTGAGACTCTCAGGGTTTAGGGTGTGTTTTTTTGTTTTCGGGTTTAGGGTTTATAGGGTTTAGGGCTTAGGGTTTAGGGTTTTTTTGTTGAAGCCCCTTTTCGTCCCTGCAGCAAGCCGTCGGTTGGCACGCCAAGAGGACAGTGGCATGGGACATCGTTAGCCAACTCCCTCGAGCATCACTTCCAAGGGGTTAGGGTGTAGGAGATGTGATGGCCTGTTTCAGACTTGAGCTGCTTCAGGGTATTGGCAGTCTCAGGCACATCTACATCCTCCCCATGATTCTTGGCCTTACTTCCACCAAGAAAGACGAGGAAAGATGCATGTCATCACACGACAAGCAGATCGAGATTCCGAGATTCGGACCTTCGCCCGCTTATTTTTTGCCTTCAACCTGCGGTTCTCCACACGCTTCTCGTGCAGGTGCTCCGCCACTGATTTAAGGATGCCTTGGCTAAACGTGGTGAAATCAACCCCGCTGAGTCCCACAACTGCTGCAACCACAGATTCTGCCATCCGTGTCCCAGTTCATCTGCTGCAACTGTCCAGGATGTTGCAGCAGGTCCGTCCGCACTTGCTGCTTCCTTAGCTTTGCCAACTTTGAAGATAGCCTGTGTTGCACCGACCACGACAGGTGCACCATGACTTATGCCTTCCGCTGGGCAAAGTCGTGGACAACTCAACGCCAGGAATCTGCTGAAACGACATCTGCTCCAGCCCTTCAAGCTCTCTCAGGCAGCGCCTGGGCTCAAAAGGCAAGGGACATTGAATTGGAATACATCCAGGCGTGAAGGCCAACGTGCACTCCTGTGTGCCTGCATGTGTGCATGTGTGCATGTGCGCATGTGTGCATGTGTGCATGTGTGCATGTGTGTCTGTGTGTCTGTGTGGGTCTCTCTGTATCTGTGTGTGTGTGTGTGTGCATGTGTGTGTGTGTGTGTGTGTGTGTGTGGGTGTGTGTGTGTGTGTGTGTGTGTGTGGGCGGGTGGGTGGGTGCGCGCGCGAGCGTGCGTGCGTGCGTGCGTCTGTGCATATACATATACATATACATATACATATACATATACATATACATATACAAAGAGATAGAGATAAAGATAGGTGTAGATCGAGACAGATAGAGATATATACAGATAGATAGAGATAGATAGAGAGATAGATAGAGAGATAGATAGAGAGATAGATAGAGAGATAGATAGAGAGATAGATAGAGAGATAGATAGATAGATAGATAGATAGATAGATAGATAGGTAGAGAGATAGATGGATAGA